TTCAGTCTTGATGGTGCTGTATCCTTGATCCTTCGTGGTCAGCAGCTCCCAGCTTCTTGGACTGAGAAGATACTGGATCCTCTTGCTCTCCTTTGTAGACCATCACACCACTGATCCTATTCTGTTCCTCTAGAGGACACAGGTACAGGACTTTGGCCTTTTTAGGTAGCTTTCCCATTTATCCATGCATACCTCTCAGCATTCTCATTTTGCATCAGCCCACCTCCTTAGATTTTTTTCCTTTTGGTTGATCACACCTTGAAAAATAATTCCCACTTACTTCCTGCTAGCTTTGCTATGCAATATAAATTATATTTTTATAAGGAAAATATTTTTTAAATTTTGCAATCAAAACTTTCAGAGTTTCTGTTCCTTTGAAGTGCCAGCAGCCCATCTAATTACCTATAACAGTGATGGTGAACCTTTTAGAGACTGAATGCCCAAACTGCAACTCAAAACCCACTTATTTATCACAGAGTGCCAACACTGCAATTAAACCTGAATACTGAGGGTTTAGTTTAGAAAAAAACAACACATACACTAACATCTTTTGTCTTAAAAGAAAAATAGGATAACAGATCTTCCAGTGATATAATTTTTTTACTGAAAGGTAAAAGTTTGCATTTGGGATGCTGTTATCTGAAGCTCAGCTGCTGGGATAATGGTGAGATGACTTGGCTCAAGTGCCAACAGGTTCACCACCACTGACCTATAACTTAGTCTGAATTCTTGCTAATTTCTCAGATAACCTTCACCTCACACAGCATTCTGCAAATTTATACCTACTTGCCCCCCTATTCTCATAAAGAGCTCCCCACTGAGGCCTCCTAAACATTTCTCTTGGCTTGCATGTCATGACCTGAATTCTTCATATCTCTGTGACCACTTCTCAGTGCCCTAAGTATTTGACATTTCATGCTTTCTTCAACACTCATGGTGGGGAGTTCCTTTGGGCTCAGGCCTAGAACTTCTCCTTCAATGCTGATCTTTCGGTATAATGCAGAGGTACTGACTTCACATCACCAATCTGGGAAAGGCCTCTATTTGCAAATACAGACTTATATACCCTACTACCTACTTAGCATCTTCACTTGAGGATTGTTTTAAACCTAAAAGTGAACACTTCAGTTTGCTTCAAACCCATTCCATGTACAGAAAGCCTCAGATCTGAGTTCATCATATCACTCCACTTCACCAAGGCATTAGCAGCACTTTGTGTCCTTTGGCAAAATCCCAAATCTTACTTTGATCTTCCATAATCCCTCTTTACCCACAGCCTCAGACTCATGCCAGACCACTCTCAGCTCCTCACTAAATTATAGGCACCCTGCTTTCCTTGTTTCAGTTCTTTGTAACATTTTAAATTCTTTCTCTTAGCAAGACAACACTCTTGTCTGCCTTAACTCATGATGTGTTTCACCATATAATCACTTGAGTGAGCCCTATTAATCCTTCAACAAAGTTGTAATTTTACTTTACTAAGGTTTCTGTTAAAATACCATGTCTTAGAGTCCTCCCTGGCCAATTATTTAAAATGACATGTCCCGATATATATTTTTCTTGTCCTACATCTTTCTTGGCTTCTTCATCACACTATCACTCTCTGGCATACTTAAATTGCTTCAGGGGCTACAAAAGAGAAAAATAGATATGGCTCACAGTCTCAGAGATAAAATTGTTCCACCTGTCTATGTTTTTTCTAGAATTAATTCACTTTTGCATTCCCACTGTTGTGATCCTAGTTTAGGTCTCATATTATTCTACTATAATCATAGTTCCAGTGATTTCTTACTTTTAGGGCTTCACCATTCCAAAATATCCTATTTACTTTGGGTTAATTAATATTCTAAATAATAGATATGATCACAACTTTCAATAGTTCCATCGCCTGAAGTCAAGAATTGTTATGTTGTAATTCAACCAATTGTTCCAAATACTTCCTGCCATGTGGCTGCCACTGCCCACACCCTTCAAACAATCCACTTAGGATTCTCTGTTCTCTAAAAATACTTGTTTAATTTTTTATTTCTACATTCAAGACTATTACTAATTATATATTCTCAGCTAGGGATTGACCACCTCCCTCTACAACTTTCAACTCTTAGATTATATTGTGTCATCTAATACTAATTTCCACCAGAGCAGCTCATGGTATGTTAACAGTGGAGAAAATCCCCTTGGGACAGGTAGAAACTTCCATATTGAGGTTGGGATAACTGACAAAATGTAGCCAATAAAAGGATGTGGCAATGGAGCACAATGAAGACCAGTCATTTTAGCATCTATTCCTCATGTTTTATTTGGTTAGCTCATTTATCTCTCTTCATTTTAAAAACATGTTCATAGAAAAACACCCTGGTTTGGGGATTTTAGTTACAAACGATTCAAAAGTACTTTGAAACAATCTGCACATCAGTTTCGAGTATTTCCTCTTAGTTAGAAATGGACTTTTGAAGGAAATTTCATATCCATTCATTCTTCCATAATTGTATTTTTAAATCTCCCCACTCATTTGTGTTGCTGTTTGTACATACTCCTCATGATACCTTCTCCCTCCATTGGATCACAATTTCCATTAACAATATAATGGGAAAATAATTAATAATAGATATTAAACAGATGGGAGTAGCTCACTGTAGTCTTTAATATCTGTTTAGGCATTGTGAATACTTCAGCATTCTTAATATTTCTTCTCTCATTGACATTGCTTAATAGAGCTGAACTTTGTACTTATCATATGTTCTTATCTAAATGTGTATGACATCTGGATTTAAATCTAGTACCTCAAAATGAATTATACAGAATTTATGCAAAAATAGGAAATTATATCAAAATATTAAGAGTGTGAGAATGCCATTTAGGTGCTTTATATATTGTAACTAAGTTTCAGGATTTCAACATACCAGGTGTGATCAAAATATATGGTGAATACTTAAATTTTAAAAATTTATTACAGTGGAAGACACATTGCCATTAATTTCCCCTCAGGGTAATACCCCTTGCTTTGAACACATTTATCCCACTTATTGTTTTCACTTTCTGAAGCAGTTCTAGAAGCCCTATTTCATGAGAATTTTTATGAAGTATGATCAAATCTGCAGTGAATGCTACTGCCAAGTACCATCCAACAAATGAGTAGACTCATGAAAACATTACAGTGTTTCTTCATACACCTTATTACCCAACCTGACATTGTATGACTGCTAGATTTTACCATTCATGGTCAAAGTGACCATGAGAGATAAATGTTTTGAATCAATTCAGGACATAGAGGCAGCCATGACAATACAAGTGAAGACACTTAAAAAAGAGGACTTCCAAAATTGCTTCAGAAAGTACCAAGAGTGATGAGATAAATGGCTGAAGAGAAACAGAGTATTTCGAGGGGCGTTAATGGTGCCCGTTATGGTTTAGATGTAAAGTGTCCCCCCACAATCTCATATGTTGAAAGGTGGATCATGAAGGCACTACACTCATCAGTGTATCAATCCACTGAGGAGTTCACAGCTAAAAGTTAGGGAGTGGGGCCTGGCTGGAGTCGGGTCACTGAGGACAAGCCATGGAACTGTCTATTCTTGTCCCAGGCTCTTCATTTCTCTTTTTTATTATAAATTTTATTGGCACATTTAAGGTATACAATATAATGACATTCATCATTGGAAATTTGCCCCTTTACATGATCCATCTTGGTTCCTATTTTTTCCCCATTCCCCTGCCCTCCCTTCAACCTCTCCACTCCTCTCTCTCCAGGCTTTTCATTTCTATTTCTACTTGTTGGCTACCATCCACTTCCTGCCATGCCCTTCCACCATGCCGTTTCTGCCTTAGAGCCACGGAATAAAACCATTAGCCAAAATAAACTGCTTATTTTTAAGTTGCAGGTGTTGGTATTATGCCCAGCAACGAGAAAGTGACTAAGATGGTGTCTTTTACTCTAACCGATACTTTTTAAATTAAGTATTCACTGTGTTTTTAGTTCATACCTTGTAAGCCAGAACCTGAAAATTTCGGTAGTACTTAACAATAACCTGTGGCCATTATGGCAAAATGCCAATTTGGTTGGCTTTGCAATCCACCCAAGAAATTGATGGATAGAGCATATTTCTGTGTATGTCTCTGTGGGAAATGGAGGTATGGATTTGGGGCTCTATGTTTGGCTCATCTTCTTTTTCCTTTCTGCCACTCTTTTCTTCCTCTGTTTCTCTGTTTTCCTTTCCCAATAAATAGCTTCACTCCACCATGACCTTCCACAATGATGTCTCTGCCTTGGAGCCAGCCAATCAGAGACTGAAAGCATAAGCAATTTTCAACTATTTCTCCCTTATGTGTGTTTGGGGCATTGTGTCTCAGCGATGAGAAACCTGATTAATACACAACCATTTCTTGAAACATTTAAACCTTGATTTTTCTCTTCTTTTACATCTCAGTTGACAATAAATTTTCAACAAGTAACACAACCTCACTTCAGAATCTCTACTATTTAAAATAAACTCAAGTACAGGTGACACATGCAGAGTCTAAAGGAGAGTATTAGTACCATATGCTCCAAATTGCTAAGTATAAAAAATACATCAAAGTAAAAGGATCATGAGGTATGGGAAAGTGCATCTTTATGTGTGATAGTCTCTGCAGGAAGGGCTAACTGATTAATTGTAAAACATGTAAGAGGGCTGGGGATGTAGCTCAGTAGTGGAACCTATGGGAGGCCTTCAGTTCAATCCCCAACACCATAAAAAATGAAAGACTTGCTCTAAGAAAGCATGAAATGGTATTTTTAAAGAAACCATGATTGTAATTAGTATTAATAGAAATAAAAATTTTAAATAAAAGAGTAGTCTTACAAATGAGTGATTGGAAGAAGAGTATTGAATTAACAATATCTTAGATAGATCCTACATAAAATTTTTAAAAATCTAAGTAACAAGGTCTCTGCTGGGTATGTTGATGACACAAAAGGAGCATCTCTTCAGGATGTGGAAATGAATCACAGCATTTGTTACCTTTGGGTTTCACAATCAGATGGACAGAGACTTTTTTCACCCCTAAGGGGCTAACTGCTTGACATTCGTATTGGCCTTGAGGGTGCTGTGCAGCACACTCAATTCTCAAAGTGCCAGAGGACAGAATTGTATGCAGGCCCTTCAGCAAAGATTTGCCCTCCTGCAAAGAGGAAATATCAGAAAGTACTCCATGTTGTATTTGTATGGCACAGAGGGTTAAAAGCTAGCACCAGCTAAGGATGGAGACAATCTCTCAAGACACTGTTGGTGTCATAATTATCCTGTGATGGCTCCTCCCAACACTGCACCCTCAGAAACACAACACTACGCTTCACCTGCCCCAAACCTCTGCCACTGTACTCCAAGGAATTATTTCCTCTCACCACCAGGATGAATTTCCTACTAGCCTCAGGTAGAAGGCAAATTTCAACACTAATCTGACTAGTAAACACAATTTTCAAATACCTCCCTAATATTTGCATGTGTATATATATTTGGAATATAAAGTGCGATGGAACTTTCAGAGTACTGAGGCAGAATATCAAGTATGATGCATGTGACACACCCCTGCTGATTGGCCTCACAACCATAACATTAGGCTCTCATTCTTCTGACCTCTGAGCTTGCACTGAGCTTGCACTCTGAATCCTTCTCAACACATTATTGCTCATGGTCACTAACTATTAAACAAGAGTTGTCACTTTCAACGATGTCAGTGAAAACTTGTATCTTACTAAATGTCTTGTTGTAGATGGGAAAACAATAGCTAACCTTTACTGAGTAGGCACCCAGTGTGTCAGCTATCATTCTTAATGTCTAAAAACACATATACATTCAAATCATTACCTATAACCATCGTTATGTAGGAAATAAATATCATCATCTCCAGCATAGGGACAAGGGTTCTCTAGTTAACAATACTTAAGTCACTTGACCAAATTCATACAAGTAAATGGAGGAGTAGAGATATGAATCGAGGCTGTGGGACTCCCAGATCTACCTTGTACTCATGATGGTGCTTCCCCAGACTCCTAAAGTTTAGACCAGATATTTTAATAAATAACATTTAGAAATGCAGACATATTTTGAATTTAATCTACTACCTGAATGTAGAATGCCAAATTTATAATTTCCAAGCTCAGCAGAATCAGACGAGCTCTTGGTGCTGGCCTTGGTCGATCTTGTTCTTAGTCCTCAGGCCCCCAGGAAGTGCCAGCTCCTCTGGGTGGGGTGGGGTGGAGCCTCTCTCCCTACCTTGTCCCACTAGGTTTATTATGCTGAGAATTCACTTAGTATCTCATTTCTATTATGATTTCATTCTGCACTAAAGGAGGATTTTTAGATTCAAGTTAAAAGCCAATTAAAAAAAAGTTTGAAACATTTTACAGACTAGTTTTTGGTATTTTTTTAAAAAAATATTCAAAACCATTGAAATTTCCAATAATTTCATTTTTAAAATCAGAAAGGATAATTTTATTAAGGCTTAAAATTAAAACATCAGAAAAATTATGGCTGTGTCATGTGTAAAGATTACTTTTCGTGTGGTGTCTTCATGTCCATGATAGATCTATAATAATTACTTTAAACCATTTTTATACGCTCAAAAAAAAAAAAAAAAAAGATGCTCCTTCATTCCCACATCACTTGTCAATGTGTTGATACCTGCTTTTGTCCAGACAATTGCTGGAGGTGGGTGGCCTTCAGCTTCACCAAGAAATTCCACAGCTTGTTCCTCGAGGACTGTTTGATCCCTGGGGCTTACAGTAAACCATGGTGGAGCTAAAGAGAAGAAAAGAGCACACCCCAACAGAAAGTTATTTTATAACTTTTAAGACCAAGAGAAAAAATATGCTGAGAAATTAGAATGTGTTACCAATGTTTGATTTCCCAAAGTATTAAGAGCATGGAGTTGTTTGTGTATTTTTGTGCTCACTTACAAGAATGTATATGCATGTGGTTTGCAAAGCAGAAGAACAATAGCCAATAAGAAGAGACCATTTCCAAATTTTATGGGAGCCACTGATAAGGCTAAATCCCCCCTCTTATGTACTAGGTACAATACACATACTTAAAAACTGCAAATCATATTTGAATCATTAGCAAAATAGTTCTCTCCAAATTTTCACACACAATACTATTTGAAACAAATTTCAGAAAGAAAAGCATGTTTGTTAGTATGAACTTTCTTACAACTTTTGTAAAAGTCACATTTAAGTCAAAATTCAGAGCTCTAAATGTTCAGATCTGTTGAACTTGATTGTATGTAAATAATGCATAACTTATAACCACATATATAATTTGTAGAAAGAGATTCTGTTCATGACACTTTGATTACTAAGAAAAAAAAATCAATGTGGCCATTTAAGAAAGGCACAGTAATCCCCAATAAGTAGTGACATTTTCAAAAGAACTTTCCAGCCAACTTGGAAAATCATTTCTGGTGTTGTTAGGTCTTTGCAGTTTCTAGTACCCCTTGCTCCCATCACCATCTGCAAAAACAACAAACATGATAAAGTAAATACTATCTGGAAAAGTGTATCTGTTGCAACCTCCACCCTGTGTGCAGATAATAAGGATGTCTTTTGGAAGTCTTTATCGCTTTTAAGTAAAATGCTAGATTAAATGCCTACGGTATATGATTAATTTCAATGTCACACAGGAACGTGTGCCAGCTATTTATAAAAGACTTCTAGAAAAGTCAAGCTGGAAACTATCCCACAGACTAGCAGTCTCATGTTCCTTGTTCCACAGATGAACAAACTCAGACTGGAGAAGGCTGAATTGAATTTCTCTCCATCAGAACCAATAAGTGGCAAAGATGGTACGAGCATCTAGTTTACTCAACCCCCAATCTGATGCTCTTTCCAGAACATTAAACTAACTCCTGAAATTACTAGAAATGGTTTAAAAAGAACAAAAATGTTTCTACACTAAAACATGAATTCATGACATAGTAAAAGAGCTACGCAATAAAGGTAGGTTGGTAGTTCAAAGAAGAGATTTAGTCAAGGTTTTAACATTGGAAATTTTGATTTCAATCTTTTTTTTAGTGGATGGACCTTGAGACCCTATTCTTAAATGATTTCAATTTTTTAATAATAATTAAAATTAACAGTTTTCCAAGGCAGGGTGAAAAGCATTGTTTTGCTTCACGTGTGCAGGAGGAAAAGAGGAAGGGAGGGGGAGAAATCCTAAGATTCAACATGCCAGCAAACAATAGGAAAAAAATTACAAAATTTAAAAGCTTACATTTGTTCCTAACATTGGCTAGATCAGTGGAGAAATTTCTATGTAATGAGGGAGACAAAGAAAAAACCTAAAGATCACACAGGTGGGCAATGAAGGCTGCAGGGACTGTATGGGAATGAAGAGTGAACGGTCTTTCACTGAAAGTCACGAGTCCCACCTCCAGTGCTAAAGCAGCACACATTGAGATGTAGTGCTTTGGGACTCTATTAAAAACCCTTCCTTCTGGCTATTTATAACCATAATTCTGCCTACAAAAAGCACTTGGTTTACACTATAAACGACAGTAAGCTTTTCACCTAAACACTGCAGATTCTGATTTGTGCCATTGCATTGAAGTTGCTTATATTCTTCTGTCTTGGCTATGTAGTTATCATTTTTATAAACCACTCTAGGGAAATGGTGTTACCACTGGATAATTACGACCTTGGCTTAAAAAAACTTGGAAAGAAATAAAAAATAATGATTGATTGAATCCAGAAAGGGTACATCTTAAAATATTTAGTCTGTGCAGTAAGCAAATAAAAAATCCTATTTCATAAATGTATAGAATGATTAATGGACCATTTCAAGGCTAATTAAAAATGTCAATACACAGATCCACAAGTGGTACAAGTACACAGTTGTAAGTGACAAAGGACAAGCAGATGGTGATTTCAGTGTAAATTGACTAGCAAAAGAAATGAGTAGCATTGTGTTGTGTGAAATGAGCAGACTGTAAATGTTACCAGGGTTTAGTTAAACATGAATTGATACAGATGGAGAAACAAGAATAGGAACCACATGCAAGGAACTGGAATGTGTAAGACTGGCACAGTGTGAAATAAGACATTGCTAAAATGCGAATGTTTGATTAGGTCTTAGGTTTCTAAAAATCTAAGGCAGCCAGGGATTTAGCTCAGTGATTCCAGTGCCTGCCTCACAAGTGCAAGGTCCCAAGTTCGATCCCTGATATAAAAAATAAATAAATAAATAAATAAATAAATAAATAAATAAAAATCTAAGGCATTAAACATAAAACTGCAAGGAAAACAGAAACCAAAGATTATTTCTTCTAAAGCATTTGTGAATCTCAGCATACTGAAACAAGTCTAAAAATAATGTTTGTCCTTATAAAGTAAGTTCTCTTAAGAGGTACCAAAGACATTGTGAAAATTTTCATTTTTACACTCTCTTTTAAGAGCAAGAAAAATGTTTTTCATGATGTTAGCATTTCTAGGAGAAAAACACAAATCTTCCTCAGACATGTCAATGACAACAAGAAATGATTATCTATTGTTACAGATAGAGTTGACACTACACCATTCAATTAAAATAAATACTCCATGCAGGAAACCTAGGGAGGATAAAGTCCTGTGTATAAACAACCAGGACTCACTGTCTTGAAGTTCCCTCAACACTGGTTCTGCACTGGGCTGGTCAGAGTTATAATGCCAGACTAACTTTCTTCTGTGTTTATGAGGGTTTGGTGTTTGATAAACAAAGTCCTACACAAATCTGAAAATATTGAATTTCCTAACTCAATTTGAATATTCATGTTTCCAGAAGATCCATGGACAACTGTAAATTACTGTGCTATCATCTGATGGCTAAAAAACAACCTGCCAGATGACATGATACTCTATATACAAGACCCCAAGAACTCCACCAAAAGTCTTCTAGACTTAATAACCAAATTCAGTCAAGTAGCTGGTTACAAGGTCAACACAC